TGTAATGAAAATAAGTAAATAAATAAATAATACAACTTAATGCAAGGCCTGGGGAGGAAAGGGCTTATGCAGGCCATTCGGAGAGGAGTCTGGCTACAGAACAGTAATAATAAAGATGGGTAAGGGCTTGTGGCAGTTAGTGTGGGTGACAGGTCTGATAAAGCCAGAGATCAGTAGGTAAACTGAAGGTTAACAAAGGAGAATGCTAGTTTGAGTAGCAAGAATTTTGACACTGAAGGACTCTGGAGGACGGGCCGGCTTCAATTCATTTTTAAGATGAGTCCAACTGAATAAATATTTCTGCAATGGCAGTGCCAGAATGGTGGAACTTAGAAGTAAAGAGCCACGTGCAAAAGTGACTAGTTCTTTAAAGTAAATAAATAAGCCAATAACCATAACGGAAATGGTAGAAAATAGCAAAAAGATAGAAGAACAAACATGGCGCTTTCCCTGACTTCAAAAAAGACGGCACCACTACTTACAGTCTGAGGAGGAGGAGATTACCAACCCCAGGAACATATGCACACAAGCAAAACAACAATCCTCATCTTGCCTCTAAATTTTACTTTAGCTGTTATGCCAGTGTTGCCCAAAATAAACAATTTTATTTCTTGCAAATCTCATAGTAATTTTACAAAGCAAAAATCAAAAATTAAACTGACCTTTGGAGTACCACAGTCACACTCTTCCCCGGGGTCCACCAGTTTATTGCCACAGAATGGAGCACTATAGGCTTCATCAGGCTTTGGAATATTAAGAAGGCAGTTTCCTCCTTTATTCAAAGTTAACTTCTCAAAGTCCTCTGCACTACAGCTGCTAAAGTTTCTGGAACCTCTGTAATAAACATTAAGAAAAAGAGTCACATCTTTAACCAATTAAAAGTGAATGTTTTCAATGGCAGAAAATAAGCTAACAAAAGTAGACAGAAATAAGATTATCTATTCCTAATAAATATAGAATATTACTTCGGTTACTACATAGCAGTTTACTATTTTGATTACAATATATTACACCTCCATGAAAATATCTTCAAAACATATAACTTACATCGAAATACAAAATCATGACTCAAAGCCTCAGAAAAGATCTTAAAAATTATCTAGTCCTATACAGAATTAAATTTTATTTATCTAACATAGCAAAAGTTCTTCAAATATTGGAAGATGGCTACAGGTTGTCTCCAGTCTTTTTTCATTCTTCAGGATAACATTCTAATGTTCCTCCCATGCCCACCGTCGCTTACGGGAA